TAACAGGGACAAAATAGCTAACAGTCACAATTTAAAGGAGGAGAAGTTTATTTTGGCTAATGGTTTTAGTATGTTCAGCCCATGTATGGTCAACAGGCTACAAGGCAGAAATGTCATAGTGGAAGGGCCTGGTGGAGGAATGAAACCACAGAGTGAAAAACGAAGGGGAAGCTGGGAAGAAGATTATATCCATCCAGGTCACACCCCCAGTGGTCCACTTCCTTCAAATAGGACTTACCTCTTGATAGTGTGTGAACAGATGAAGCTTTGAAGGGAATATGGATCTAAACCATAAGAGATCAGCTCAGTCCTGAAGAATCCCATGCATTATTGAATAGAGCAGGTGCTATGTCTTTCCTGAAAGAAACTTTCTGTAAATATTTGGTAATGAGCTCAAATAAAATTTAAATCTGGTGTTTTTTCCTGCGTGGATATTCTGTCCATTGGTGTAAGTTGAGTGTTAAAGGCCTTCATTATTGCACTGTTTTCTCTTTCTCTGATCTATTAATATTTGTTATACATGTTCAGGTATTCTAATAGTTCAAGAAAAGCAAAATGCATAAAAGTCCTTATCTATTTTAACTAAGAAAAAAGAGGGAAAAGTTCCAGGTAATGTAATGAAAGATAAAAAGTTGACATTACAAATGACATACCAAAATTTCAAGTATATATATATATATAATTGTTATTGTTGAATTCATCCTTTATAATTGTATAATAGCCTTTCCGTTAATTGTCTTGACATAAATTATATTGAATTTAAATATGGCTGCTTCTTCCATTTTTATTCCACTTTCGTAGAATATCTTTTCTCTTTCTCCATTTTCATTCTCTGTATTTGCTTAGGGATGAGGTGAGTTTCATATAAGAAATATTCAGTTGGTGCTGTTTCATCATTTTGTTCACTTTATATTTTTAAATGGCAAATTTAATTGATTCATTTTCAACATAATTGTCAAGATGTGAGCTCTTATTTTAGCCATTGTGCATCTTGTTTTGCCATTCTGCTGTAGTTTCTTTCTCCCTTACAATATTTTTGTGATTGATTTATTGTAATAGTTTTTTTTTTTTTTTTTTTTTTGGTGCTGGGAATTGAACTCAGGACCTTGTACTTGCCAGGAAGGCACCTGTGCTGCTGAGCTATATTCCTGGCCCTGATTTAATTTAATAGTGTGGTCATTGCTTGCCTATCGCTTGGTTTAGCAGTAATACACTTGTTTATTTATGTTTACCGTGAGTGCTAAAAAAGTTTTCATTATAATAACTCATGATGAAATGACAGAGAAAAACAAAAACCTACTCCAAAACTAGTGGAACTAATATAGCCATTCATAAAAGTTTTTGGGTACAAAATTCTGATATTCAATATGTTGCTATACATTAATACTAAATAATCTGAAACATCAATACAGAAATCACATTTATGATAGGTACAAATGTGCAGCATCTAGAAATAAATTTAACCTAAGAAATGAAAGGTTTCTACAATGAATATTGTAAAACATTGAAAAGGTGAATTTAAGGGGACATAAAAAATGGAATAAAATCCATTTGTCATGGAGTAGAAGAATTAATAGCATTAAAATGTACATACTACCAAAAATCACCTACAGGTTCAGATCAATCGCTATCTGAATACCAAGGACATACATTAAAAAACTAGTAAAAAAATTCCTAAAATTTACAAAGAAATTTATAAGAAGATCCCACATAGGCAAAGAAATTTTAACCAAAAAGCAACAAAACAGGTGGCATTTCACTAGCTAACTTCAAACTATACTGCTACACTGTAGTAATTAAAACAGCATTTCATTACCATGAAAACACACAGTCAAACAGAAAAGAATAAGAGCATAGAGGTAAACTTGCATTTTTATAGCCCTGATTTTTGATGAAATACACTCATTGATCAAGGACAGTGATTTCAATAACTTGTGCAGAAAATATTAAATAATTATGGACATGTCAAAGAAATTAGATTTCACTTTTGCAAACGTCAACTCCAATTGCATTAAAGATTTAAATGTAAAACACGAAGGTATGAATTTATTAAAGTGAAACACACAAAGTGCTTTGGAACATGCAAATGTACATAATTTTTTGGGATAAGACTCTAAAAGCACAGGACAGAAAGGCAAGAGTCAAATGAAACTAAAGTAAACTAAAATCATTGTGCACTGCACAGGAAATAACCAACAAAATGAAAAGATAACTTATACAATAATACAAAATATTTGAAAATTATATATCTGATGAGGGGTTGTCATCTGGAATATATAAGGTACAACCAAAGCTCATCAAATATATCCACATAATACTTGTAACAAAAAGGCAGAAACAGACTTTAATATTTCTCAGGGATATTTGGTTCTTAAATGTGCTTATGTGAATGTGTGAAACATTGCTAACAGTGAGGAATACGCAGCTCAAAAACACAATGAAAGTATACCTATTATCACACATACAAAAGACAAGAAGTGCTGCAACAATAAATGGGAACCCTTGTACACTCTTGGTGGAAGTGGAAATTATTGTAAATTTGCATTGGATGCAAAACAACATAGAGATTCTTCACATTAAAAGCAGAACCACATACACCTAAGATCTATCACGCCTATTACTGAGTGTATATGAAAAGGAAATGCAATCAGTATGACAAAGAGAAATCTACCCTCTCATGTTCATTGAGCAATAGTCATAATAGCAGGAAATGAAAACAACTCAACTGTCTTTTAACTGGTGAAGACATAAAAATATAATAAACATACATGATGGGATACAACTCAGGCATAAAAGGATGATATCATTTTGTTTCCAACAATATGGATGAAATTAACAATTATTATATGAAGTCAAATAAGTAAGAAAAATGTATACCATAATGCTGCTAATGTCAAACATTAAAGTGTTAATCTCATGAAATTAGGGAGTAGAAGAATAGTCGTTAGTATCTAGGGAGAACATGTAGAGGGAAGATGAGGAATAGATTAGTCAATAAGTACTAAAATATAGTCATATATTCTTCCTGTAATTATAGGAGAATAAATCATACTCTGCTATTTCTGTGAATTTCAAGAAGATAGAGGAAAAGATCTTGAATGTTTTCACCATAAGAGGACGATAAAACTTTTAATTTTTTGTACTGGGAATCAGACTCAGGTCCATGCACTTGCCAAGCAGGTGCTTGTGCCACTGGGATATATCTTCAACCCCTGAGAATAATAAAAGTTTGAGGAGACAAATATATTGAACCTGACTTAAACATTGAACAGTGTATACATGTATCCACCACAGTGCTGCATACACACCTTTTACTTTATTTTCATGTTCATTAGTTAACAGCGTATTTTTAATTTAAATTTAAAAAGTAATAAATTTCAAAAATGTAAAATTTCTTAACAAGAAAGACAAAGTCAATAATGTATACAATATGGAGTTTTGAATAAATGATTCTGTCTGCATTTGTACTACTGACTCAAATTCTTGTATTGCTTGTTCCTAATATAATGAGTAATTTAAGCAAAATTGTGTGTAGGCCATTAATAAGTGATTATGGATATTAAACAAAATGTTTAAAGTCAGACAATAGGCATTACTATTTTCATGGATTATTGGGTTATAATAGCTAATATTAGAAACAAAAATCAGGACACATGTGCAAATTGAGAATCCTGCTTTTATGTACAAAAATTAATTCTCCCAAATAATTATATGGACTGAAAACTGAGTCTCAAAAAGATTGCGTCAAGTGACATTTGCACTGGACCATAGTTCTGGAATGGATAAAACTAAAAGCCATGTTTTGTGCCATTTAAGTTAAAGTTATGTAACAAACATTTATAATATTTTAGGAGAGATACCCTCCCTGAGTTCTTATATGGGTTCTTTGGCTGCATATCAGAATTCAAATACTGTAAAGCTTGCTTAACAAACATAAAATTTGTATTCTTTTTCCATGTATATGTGGATCTTCATAAGAGACCATTTTAAAGTAATGATTAAAGCTGGATGACTTTAGATATTTTGGACTACCCCTCCCCAAATCCTGATTTGGTGGAAGGGCAACTAGGTATCTGAACTAACGTAGGAAATTTGTGTGTTACTAAGAGATGGGTGAGGGAGGGTTAAAGTTACTTCGAAGTTTATTTATGCAGGTAAATCACATCGACAATTACTCATCTCGTGTTTAAGGTTATTTTCCAGGCGTGATAGACAGAAGACATATTAGCCAAAAGAATCAGTGACGTGCTTCATGTAGGGAAAGACAAGTCAAAGATCTTTTCAGCAGCTAATTACGGCCCCTGTATGAATTTCAGCTTGAAAAATGCCAGTACACCAATTTGGAGTATTTTAAGGTGGAACATAGTTAACCCCTGCATATCAGACTATTTCCTCTGAACTGTGATACAAGTCTTGTGTCAGGATGTGAAAAACAACAAGGAGCCATAAGAACGGATTGATTTCAAATTTATTTTTGTTAATCAAAGATATCACTCTTTTAATAAAAATTGAAAATGTAGAGACTTTGTTGCTCTTCTGAGTTGTTCTTTCAGCTTGTATTTTATTCATGCATCACAATATACTATAGAAAAAGTAGCTGTGACTAAGACAAGATGAAACAATGCCACACGAACCATTAGTTTTGTTAAACTGTAACCTAAATTCTCACTTTACAATGTGGATTTTCCCAGAAATGTTCACATATATTTAGATAGTGATTTAATCAATGAATTTGTCAGATTGGTAAGAACAAATTTAAATGAGCATTGTTTTGTATTTAGTAAGTAAATAGACTCCTTTTTCATATCAATATATTGAAATTTTGTGAGAAAACTTCAAAGCAAACATTTTCATAAATTCTATGCTATCTATTAAATATCTGAAATTGGAATTATGATGGTTTATTATTCAAGATCACTGATTTATACTCAGTATAATTTATGCAACCTAAAAGATTATTTTGAAATATCTATAAATTTTTGGTTAATGTTGTTTTACAGATGCTCCTAAATTTATATCAAACCAAACAATTTATTACTCTTGGGAAGGAAATCCAATCAATATAAGTTGTGATGTGAAATCAAATCCACCAGCATCGATCCATTGGAGAAGAGAGAAATTAGTTTTACCAGCTAAAAATACTACTAATTTAAAGACATATAGTGCAGGAAGAAAGATGATATTAGAGGTAAGTCTGATTTATTTTTAAATATATTATTTGAGTAATTATGTACTATATCAGAATATATTTAAATATATTTACATAGAAATATATGCTTATACATACAGGTATATTTCCACGTGTGTGTTTGATATTTATTTACTCAAAAGTCAAATTTATATACTTGAATCATAGATAATTTATTATGAGTATTTCAGTATTCACTGAAATAGAAGTGTGAGGGTTTTGTAAAAACCATTAATTTTCATTAATTTACTTTTGGAGAGAAAAAAAAATCTTATCTGGAGAAAATAGGATGAAAATATTATGAGCACAGTTGGAAAACTTCTTGCAGACTTAAAGCTGCTAAATTCATTATGCAATTTCAGTTATATGAGTTAAAATTAATATACATATTAACAATACTTGATAGTCATATATTTCACCCCACACTAAAATGGAATATAATTTTTAGTAGATGTAACCATGTGATCTGTTGTATAAAGCACAATTTTGAACAAATCATATATACATAAATTTATTTAAAGTTTAAATGCAAATCTTTAAGTAAAAAATGCAGTATGTGACGAATAAAATAAAAAAGTATAACAACAATAGGCCTAAAAGAAAAAGCAATGTAAACAATGCTAATGTATAATTTATAGCCACATAGTTACAAGGAAGTGCTTTTTATTATGTGTTACATGATCACGATACTACCATATTAGAGTTAATTGTATACCATATGATAAAATATAGGTAAAAATAATGTAAAAATAATTGGGCAAACAATTTCAAAAGGAAATTTTTTAAGTTTTAAAAAATTTGTGTAATCATATATGTTTAAACTTTTAAGCATATGAATTTTAATATACAAACACTGTAAATTCTTTGGGTGCCTGAATTTATATTGTTCATAAGCATTTTTCTTTTAGATTTTATTTTAATCTGAACTCACTGTTACATAAGAATGCAGGATTTCAATAGCTGAGTAAAAAGTAATGACAGGGAATTTCTATCAGGTTGGTTTGGATGGTAATCTATTTTACATCAACATTCTAATTTTTTTTTTGTCCTTAGTGAAGGATACTATTAAATACATATTGCTAAACGTGTATACAGAAAGAAGAAATCAGTCTGCGAGGGTTATGAAAAAAGAGCTCAGCCTCTTCATTGATATTATAGTTCCACCTTCTATTTTCATATTCAGAATTAATTTTTGGTCCAATATGTCTTGTGGCAACTTAACATCACAGTTTAATTTCATTTATTTGAACTGAATATTTAACAATGAAGAGAAAAATATTATGACCAGATGCATTGATATTTCTTGGACATACAGTAGCAGTGATTTGCTAACACTTATATATTTATTTTTTATTTAATCCTTTACAATAAGTATTTGTATATAGTGCCTTATATTTTGATCAAATGTTCTAACATTTCATTGTGCTGTTTGTATATCAATACAATATACTAAATAATACATTGGTATATTTAGTGTCATATTGCTATTCATGGAATATGTCAAGTATGTTTCAGAGCATATTATTTGGGTAGGTTAATTTTAAAGCTGTGTTTCCCTCCTGTGTGTAATTTTCTGATTGTTAACCATACAGTGTGATAAATGAATTATTTATTTATTTATTTATTTTTGGCTTTTCTCCGGTACCGGGAACCGAACTCACGTCCTTGCGCATGCCAGGCAGGCGCTTTTGCCGCTGAGCTAAATCCCCAGCCCGTGAATTATTTATTTAGCAGAGGGATATAAAGCTTTCACTTGTTAGCTGAAATCAAAAGCGGGAAATGAACTGGTCCTTTTAAAAGTGGGTCCAGTGGGTGCTGGGGGTTGAGCTCAGCGGCAAAAGCGCCTGCCTGGCAAGCGCAAGGTCGTGAGTTCGGTTCCTGGTACCGGAGAAAAACCAAAAACAAACAAACAAACAAACAAAAAAAAAAAAACCCACAAAACAAAAACCTAAAAGTGGGTCCAGTGAAAAAGGCAACATTGGAGTTACTAATCTTAAGGAACTGTTCAGTAGCTACCCTTGTTTGTTGTGGCTATCTCGGCTCTGCATTGTATTGATTTGATAAACACATTCTTCGCTCCGGAATGTACCAAAACAATAAACATCCTCCTATACTATTCTGTGGCCTGAAGAAAGGGTTCTTTAATGTTTCTCATTAATAAAATTATTTAAAAGTTAAGCTCGCCTGGTTTGTTAAAAGCTGCATGTAAGAAAATGCATAACTGAATCATTTAGAAGTGCAAGAGCTGTTGAAATTTCTGAGCTTTACGCCTATGATGTGTTGCTCGATGGACAGCTGACTGAGAAAATGAACTACACAGCTCTTTTGGACTCATTTAGAAGCACCATCTTCAATGGGCCTCAAAATTGCACTCTTAGTTAATAGCTTTCCATTACCGCAAAATCATTTTTCTCTCTTTTGGAAAAGAGTTGAAATTAAAAGCAACTCTTGCTGTAAGCATATTCTCTCTTAAAAATAGTTACTGGAATTGAAAATTATATCTATTACCATCATCAAATCTCTTTTCTGAATTGATACTTCAGAATTTCTGTACAATAGAGTTACAGCGTTGCCCTTATCATTCACCAAAATAATCCCCAAAGATTAACTTAATTATGGATTTCAATGGGTAAAGACTGAGGTCACCTACTCTCCCACCAAAACTAAAAGATAATGATAGGAACTGAAAAGAAATAGAGAGAAGGGGCTGGGGATTTAGCTCAGCGGCAAAAGCGCCTGCCTGGCAAGCGCAAGGTCGTGAGTTCGGTTCCCGGTACCGGAGAAAAACAAAAA